TATTATATAGTAAATATCTTTTTATTTTAGTTTATTAATATATAGGATAAGTTCTAATATAGTTTTTTATATTCTTTTTTATACTTTATTAGAAGTATTTTCTTTAGAAAATCTCTAGTATTTTACTAGTACTAAAATATCTATTTATAAGATTATTATAATTAGCTTATAGTAATTTTTCTTTAAAAGCCGACTTATTTAGTATATAAATAATACTCCGATATTTCAATAACCCAGATATATTAAATTCCTAAATCTTAATAGCTCTAGTAAAAATTTCCTTTAAGAACTATTTATATTACTAGTATTATACTAATAAATTAAGTCTCTAGTACTATAATAGTAATTCAAGTAGTATTTCTTTACCTTTCTTATATACTATTTTGGATCTAGCTATCTATATAGCTAGAATTCGTAATATATATTATTTATAACTAGTTATACTAGTAATAGGCTTAAGTAATAATATCTCTAGTATTATTTTATTACTAAAATAGACTTTCTTTTCGGAATTCTTTAATATTTTACTAATTAAGAAATATTTATTTTCTCTTTTCTAGGCCTTAAATTACAGTATTACAGAAATAGTATAATATTTTATTACTATTACTTATAGGGCTTACTATTCTATATTCTATAGCTTATTATAAAATATAAATAATAAAGTATTTTTATTTACTCTTATTATAAAGTTTGGCTTTCTTAATAGCCTATTAGTAAAGTTATTATATTCTGGCTAATACTCTAAAATAAAGTTAAAAATAGCCAGATTTTTTACTTATTTTATTTATTAATTATTTAGTTTTCTCTTAGTTATAAAATATTTCAAGTTATTATAATTTGTCTTAATAATAATAATATACTAGATATATATTAAGTAATATTACTAAATATAGAATACTAGAATAATAGCTAAAAGTTTAGAATTATATATTTTATATTTATTCTTAATTATAATTATTTTCTTTAAATAAAAGATAATAAGATATTACCTGGCTTCTATTCTCTTACTAAAGAGCTAGGAAATTATATTTATAACTATAAATCCTAAAATATTCGTTTTTATATAAATCTTTAAGGCTAGATTAAAATAATAAAGAATTAGTATTATTAAAAATATAATTTATAGCTTCTTAAAAGCCTTATTTACCTTATTTATTTAGCTGAAATAATATTATAAGTTATTATTAATTTTTAATAAATTAGTTAATTCTTTTATTACCCTAGAATATTTATAAATAAATTTCTAGTAAAAGTTAGTAAATCCCAGAAATACTTGAACTTTTTAGATATTATTCTTTAGGGCTAGCTATTCCCTAATAGCTATAACCCGGCTAGCTTCTATTTCTATATTATCTGGGCTAATTATAAATTCTAGAAACTTTATTCTTTTTATATTAAACTCGCATTTTACTAAGTTTATAAAAAGCTAATATTATTATAACTACTTAAATATATATTAGACTATTATTATATATTATTCTGGGTTCTTTAAATAAATTAAAATATTATCTAGATAAACTATATAAATAATATTTATAAGGCCTACTAGTATATAGTTAATATATACCTAAAATATTACTAAAATATTAGATAATCTAAAGAATATAATATAATACTTAAAATATCTATAATATATTTAGAATATTATTTTCTATTTATTATTCTCCTATATTTATAACTAATAATAAGTATTCTTTAAATCTAGTTTTATATATATTTTTATTTTATAAAAACTATTTATTATTTTACTAATAAATAATAATAGTATTTAGTTCTTAATAGTAATTCTATTTAGATTCTAGTAATTAATATATAGATATAGGCCGCCTTCTTTCTTTAAAACAAATATAATTAGAATACTAGCTAGACTAGTAAAATAATGAATTTATTTCTTTTTAAGCTAATATTAAGATATTCCTAAAAAACTTTAAGTTTCTTTTCTAATAAAATATATATAGAACTATATAATAATTAGAACCCTGATTCCAGATCTATATAATACTTTATTATATAATAATCGGGTAATATATCTATAGTCTTTATAGAAAATATTCGAAAAAGATTTTAATATTTTTTAAAAAGTATATTTATTCTATTTATAATAATAGTAATAATTCTTTAGTTATCTATTATAAAATAGGTAATTAATAAAAAAACATATATCTTATATTTTATTATTTTAGTAAACTTCCTAGTATTTAGAACTTTAATTTTTTATAATTAAATCTAGTATTTCTATATTACTTTTCTAAAAAAAAATCAGGAAGTTAATTTAGTAAAATTATAGGAATTCAAATATTATATTAATATAGTTTAGATTAAAATTATATAATATAAAATATATATTAGCTTTTCTTTAGTTCCTTAGTATATTCTTAGTAATAATCCCAAAAATATAATCTTTATATAAATAGATTTTTTTTTCTCTAATAAGAATAAAAAAGTTACTTTTAATATTAATAGAATACTTATATCTAAAGCTAATTTCCTTTTTATATAATTAGCCTTTATACCCGAATTAACTAATACTTTAATTCTTTACTTATCTTTTCTTATTTTAATAGTAACCTTAATTACTATTCTCGTTTTAGGGGCCTTATTCTCTATAATATAAATAAATATAACTATTATAGAATATATTTATTTCCTGGCTTTTTTAGTTCTAGATACTTATATAATTTATAGCCAGACTTATTATAGTTATAATAAATTAATTTCTCCCGATTTAGGTAAATAATAATATAATAATTTTCTTTCTAGTAAATAAATCAAATTATATCTATTTTTATAAATCCTAATATAGGTATTATATTAAACTTTATTATTATATTTTTATTATTCCGGTTTTATAAATCTTATAACAGAAATATATTTTTCTTCTATTTCTCTTTATTATTTCCTTTTTCTTTTCTTCTATTTCCTTTCTTTTACTATTCTATTAGCTTATTATTATATTTCTATTAAGTAAATAGGTTTAAATTATTCTTAATTCTTATAGCTATAGAAATAAGATTCTTTTTTTCTTATAAAGTATTTCTTTAATAATTAATCTTATTCCGAATCTCTTATTTTAAGCTATTAAATAAGTTATCCTATTCTTATAATAAACTCATATATCTCAAGTTATTTAATAGGCTATCTAAATAAGATATAAAGCTTTAGATATTCTAGCCTAACTATTATTTATTATTTTTAAACTTAATAAGGATATTATTATTATAATTCTCTAAATCTAAGATAGAATTCTTTATAAACTTAATAAAGATCTCCTAATTTATAATATTAATATCTACTAATTACTTCCTATATTTCCAGATATTCCTAGCTATATTCTTAAAATAGGAAATATAATATATAACCTTTATTATATTAGTAGCCTAGATAATCCTGCTATTTTTATATTATTTTAACTCTATCTAATAAAAGAAGTTCTAGGCTTCTTTAATATTCTTTTCCCGGTAAGTAAGTAGTTCTCGGGTTTTTAAAGCCCTTCGAATTAAGGATATTACCGGAACTATAATGAATTCTATACCAGATATCTAAATATTTTTAAGATAACGGATTTAAGCTTCTAGCTTTTCTAAATCTTCTCTCTATTATATCTCTGCTTCTAACTCAGTAATATAATAGCAAGCCGCCGCTAATTTCTCTATTATTATTATTCTACTAGCTAGTTCTAGAGATATCTGAGTTCTACTTTCTTCTCCTAACTAGATAGTATAAAGAATACTTAACTAGATACTTCCCTAAATACCCGGTTAGGTTACTCTAATAGTAATAAAGGCACTTCTTCTAGTTAATACTCTAGCTATTAATAAACTACTTCCCGAAAATTAGATTAATTAGAATATAAGATATATAATAATAGAATAATATATAAATAATTAAGGTAAGTAAGCTATAGGAGAATATTTATAAATATAACTAATTTCAAGAATTAATTCTAATAAAAGACTAATTAATACTTCTTTCTAAAGCTAGAAGTATTTTCCTATATATTTCCTAGTACTTAGCCAAGTCTATAAAGTACTTTACTTAACTAGGAAATATAATTCTATATAATCTATATAATTCTAATTATAAGCTTTACTTAAAATAGGAAACTAGATCTATAATATCTAATACCTATTTATATACTATTACGTATATTTATTATATTATATTTAAAGATTAAAGATAATATATTAAATATAAGAGTAAAATAAAAAGTAGAATTTTAAGCTAATTATATATCTAAATAAACTCTATATTAATATAACTAGAATACCTATTTATAATTAAAAGCCTTCTTTTATATCCTGCTTTTATATAAATAGTAGAATTAAAAACTTAGATAAGATATATTAGGCCTAGAATATTAAATAATTACTTATTTATACTAGATATAAACCAAATATATTTCCTTTCTTTTAAATTATCTAACTAAGTATTCTAAAGATTTCTAGAAGTTCCTTTATAAATAAGAGCTAGTAGAATTTTCGTACTATCTATATAAATAGAAATAAGTAAGCTAATAAACTTTTATAAGCTATTCTGCTTTACTTTAGTAATTTTCCTACTATTATATACTTCTTTTATTATTATATACTTTATTATATATATAATTCTAATTAAAAAACCCTTCTTATCCTAATTATATATATTTTCTACTATAATATTATAATCTTCGATTACTTTAATTAACTAAATAGAAAAGAGAAATATTAGTTATTTTATTTATAAAATAAGTAAAATATAGGCAAAATACTAAAATTAAATACTACTAAATCAAAAAAGAACTAGATATAGGGCCTATATTCCGATTTTATTTGCAAATTATTAATATTATATAAATAAAGGCTCTTTAGGCGAGATAAGTACTAGTAAACAAAACCAGCTATCTAATTCTTGCTTATATTACGGCTAATAATCTCCTCTATAAGATTTCCAATAATCTATAAGATAGGAGGAAGTTTACAGACTATAAGCTTATTAATTTGACTAATTAAAGCCTCTTCTTATATATTAGTAAGAAGTTTATAGTAAAGGGAGGTTACTTCTTGTCTGGAGGCATATATGCCTTTATACCTTCGTATAAGGGTTATACGCTTAATACTAAAATCCCTGGCCACTTGACTATAATTAGGGATCAATTGCATATCTAGCGTATTAATCGCTTTCTCAATATCTTGTTCGCTGACCATTTTATCGAATTTTGAAGATGGAGGGGTAATATTTTGTGAGGTGTGCATTCGCTTGGGGTGTGCATTGACTAGGGATCTCGGTTATCGCTAAATCGAGGATCGTTATATCAAGGTTCTGCTGTTTCATACGCCATACAAGAACCCTGTTGCTTCCGAAACAATCGCTTATTTATTCCTCGGCGACCTTTGCAGGCGTGCAATTCCTGCGTAGTCTGATAGGGCCATTTTCAGAATCCTGGATTTTTCATTGTCCGAACTCCAGATTGATGCAGCAAATCCCTGTTGTGGGATAGAGAGTCACTGGAGACGAGCCTTGGCCGTTCTTGTACTATCTGATTATGGAAGGTGTCAATCGTGACAAGGAGCGGCCCCCTTCGAACTCCTGCGGCTGCCAGGCTCCGCTGTGGCGCAATTTGTGTTGGCTCTACTAGGGTTTGGAAGCTGCAATCCAGAGACGATGCCTATATCTCGTGTTCTGTTTTCTTCCTTGAGCTTTTTCTTTCGACCTTTCGACCTTTCGACGACCACCATTCGCCATAGTGCTGATTATCATGACGGGAAATCGAAATGAAAGGCAACACTTAAGAGAGCTTGGAGTAGTTTTCTTGACAGCTATATTACCAGGCCAATTTCCATCGCACCTTCTAAACACGTTCCAGACAATCAGATCTTTCAGAAAGTTCGATTTATCTACCTTTCGTTCAAGCGGCACATCAATATCACCTGAAAGGGTTCTCTGGAGAAGTGAAATAATGGACCGTACAGAGGAAATCGTTGAAATTGCAATGACAGTTATAGCAGATGCGACTGCCGAGTGTGAAGGACGACTGAGATTGGAGCCGGAGGTTCTGAGGCGTTTCTATATGATCATCGAGTGGTGAGTTTTAAAGTTGCAAACTGTGCCTAACGTATCTGATTGGAGATCCAAAGCCCATCCGAAGCCTGCAAGAACAGGTTGTGGAGGTCAGAAATAGAAGCAGTGGTAGAGTCTCCAGGTCGCATCGCCCAGAGTCTGGCAACTCGACGGCCGAAACGTCACCCATGTCATTGCCCACCAGGGGAGAGATTGCCATACCTGTAAGTTTTCAAGCCCAGCAACGGTTCTCTGTTAGGTCCTGACCATGTATAAAAGCAACAAAATCTTCTCAAGCCGGGCGGACGAAATGGTCTCCATCGATCTGTCTAAAAATGATTCAGATAAGCGTGTTGAGAACGAAATGGTCTCTATGGCTCTCTCTGAAATTGATCCAGATAAGCGTGTTGAGAGAAGGCGACCTGACCGCATCATCGGATTCCAAGAAACGCGCAGCTTCAGTCGCCGGCTTGAGAAATATGATCTTATGGCCGGACAGTCAGGAAATGAAGCTGGCAATATCACTTTATGGGAGACAGTCGAGAGTACCGTTCTCAATCACAAGGGAAACTCACTTCTCTTTCCTTTTCTTATTATCGAGGCAAAATCAAGACACGGTGCCCCGTTCGACTATTGCAATTTACAGACTGCCGCACCAATCCTGAAAATGTTGAAAATGCAGGAAGACTTGCAAAAGAAGTCAAATATGACCCTGGAGTATGGGGGTCCGTTGGTCTGGTATATTTCGTATAGGGGGGAAGACTGGCGTTTATCAGGCTGCTATGTCTCCGACAAGCCTGATGAGCCATTATATGCAAGCTCTACCTCTATGATAGTGTGTGATACTGCTAACTTATATCAGGAGATTGTGACTCTTTGGACTGGTCAATTGAATGATGTAGAGAGCGCACTACAGTTCCTTCTCATCATTGACTATATATTCGACTGGGCTCGCGACATTTACAAGCCTTCCTTGATTTCTCAGCTCAATATGCTTGCAAGTGAGCCTTCCGAAAACCATGGCCACATCCACGATGACCTCTCCAGCAGGATCGACACAGACAGCGATATTCTCTCGCTACGGGGACCAAAACAGCCAAAGACTATCGAGGTTTTGGGAGCTAGTCTTGAGAATGATACCGATATGGTGCCAGATGAAGAACGTATTCTCATGAATTGGGCGACTTACGATTCGGAGTCAGCTGTTTTGCGCCCAGCGTGTATCGTCCAGAACTTGTTTCGTTGCCTTTTCGTAACGAAAGCGAACATCGACGAGCTTTTCTCAGCTGTGCATAAGCCATACACTGTAAAACAGCTTGCTAAATATGCAACAAATACTCTCGATGACTGGCGCACTGTTCTGGTGTCAGAAGATGTACTCGACTCTATGGAAGAAGTCTGGACGAACAGAGTTAGACGGAAGAAACCGCAGCATATCCCGGAATCACGCCTTTTCGCATCCATCGTCTATCATACAGTTGTGACTCGGGACTGGGAGCTGCAAAGGATAATATATTGTCTTGCATTCGATGAAGAGGCATTATGCAGAGTCAAAAACACTCTCCAAAAATCAAAATCCGCCCCTTACCCTCTCAAAAATGCCCAAAAATTTGGGAAGGGCAATGCAGAAGCCTTGATAAGTGCCTTGAAAGACCAATCTATACAACAAAATCTCGCATCGGCTTTGGCCTCAACAAGACAGGAATTACGCAAAAGAGGTTCGCTACAAACGCGTTGCCCTACCTTCGAGTTTGCTGATATAACTTATCACCAGAACGGGTGGAACTATCTGAAGACATATGAGTTGATAGATAGGGTATACTGTATGTGTGAGAAGAATTCCGAGGAGCCAACTGAGTCATTTCTTCGAGTGTCTCACCAATGGAATTCGCTGACTGATATTTCCCCCGGTTCGACTGTCGAATCATACTTCCCGAATTCTGAACCTGCAACTGATGAGCAGTATATTCTGGTAGCACAGAATTCGCCCTACTCGAGTCCATCTCTTTGCATATACGGCATTCCAGGTCGCACAGAAGCTCCTGAGCAGCTGCGAAAGATTTTGCAGAAGGTGGCTGACACTGATGTACTCTACAAGTGCTCGGTGAGTAACCTTGCCTCAAATAATTGGAGTGACGTGTACAAGAAGTGGAGGACGACGGATTCTGGAAGCTGCCAGGAAATTACAAAACGGTTTCAGCAGTGGAGAGACGGATTGCAAGATGAAGCCTCACCTAGCCTTCCCGTGCCCTCTCCTTCGACGATGCCTGTCGTCACAGTGGTCGAGAGCAATCTCAAGCGCCTCCGCGATGACGCGGATAGGAATGATGTTCTGACAATCCAGAAGAAAGTCAAACATAAAATCATAATCATCGATGATTAGATTTAGAATTTATGAGTACACAATTGCCGCTTACGGTGCACGGCGATGCCTTGGATTGGTGGACGAGCACAGGATCAGTGAACTTTACACACAAGCGGTGAGAAGAGACCCGGATCTGAAAGTACTAAAGCACATAAAGATAGAAGATCTAGGTTCGAGAATCCCAGTTCTCAAATCTAGGATCTGTAATGCTGGAACACTCGCTAGAGTATTAGAGCGTATAGGGGATCAAAATTCTGGATCCGAGATTATCTTGAATCTGTGAGGCTAAAGCACTCAAGCACATGGAGATAACCCAATTCTCCCCAGTCTGTGGCCGTATGTGATAAACATTATGCATAATGAACTATATCATACTCAATCGAAAGTGCAGATCTAAGAACTTGTAATTGGTTCCTGGGGCGTGGAGATTCATTCTCGTTGGTTGCCGCTTTGGCGAAGATTTACCAGTTGAGAACGCAGAGTTGAGCACATGTATATGCAAAAACTACTACACAATCAAACTCTGATCTAGGTATAGTGGAAAACATCCTGAATCAGCGAGTAAAGCCATGGAGCTTGGCACGTGATCGATGGAATCAAGGCTCCAATGAATGGGTGTTTGGTGCTTCTTGAAATAGGAATTGAGCCTATGACACGGGCACGGTGATACGAATTGCTATTTGTGATTTTATGTACATGTTTTGAATTCATGACTTATTACGTGACGATTCTACGTATTCACCTGACTCACACCTACCAAACCCCTACTGTAAGCCTTCCTGAGCCTGTCTCAAGCAGTGTGTCAAATGATTAGGTTTGAGTTGATTAGACCCCCGTACTCAAATCAAATCAAGTCAAAATCAAGCTAATCAAATCATACTTAATTATAATCAGAGATAATTAATTATATTTAATTATATTCATCACGTGATCACGCACATGACTTCAGGGCTTCGGAAGCCGAGATAAGGCTGAAATAATGTTTGGGCTAGCCGCATTGGGTATCGCTAAAGGCGCTCTTTACTTAACCAGGCCTAGCGCCAATTCGTAAGTGAAGCCAAAGGCGCTAGAATCTCCTTGATCTCCGGTAATTCCTCGGTATTATAATAGATAATGAGAGAAGAGAGGGGTGGTACGGATGGCCAAAGCTAAATATAGTGGGTATAGTCACGTGAGGACAAGTTATATGGCCAGCCTGCAGTTACTATATAATAATTTAGACTAATTTTATACGCTTATATATACTTTATAGATTTTATTTATATCTCATTAATATAAATCTTAGTTATTTAATAATCTTTAAAAATGCCTAAGAAAGTATAATTATATATTATCACGTGATGATTATAATTAATTATAATTAATTATAATCCTAATCCTAATCAAATCAAGTCAAAATCAAGCTAATCAAATAATACTTAATTATAATCAAAGCTAATTAATTATAATTAATTAGCTTTGATTATTTTTTGACACACTGGTCTCAAGAAGCGACCCACGTGATGAGCAACGAAATCGAGAACAACATACTCAGAGTTACCTCTGTTGATCAAGATATAGGTTTGAATTGCTTGCGTTTGCCCTAACTCCGTCACAGAAGTCACATAATCTCAAATATCTGGGGTTGATTGTATAAACCGCCCGCCACTGCGTATAATGCCAAGCATCCTGATTAGGCATGGTGAAATTTTTTGGCATGTATCAAAAAGTTTCTTTTGCTAAAACCTACCCTATCCCATCAAGTCGGCTCAGCCTTCACTTCAGTCATGCGGGCGCAGTTGGGCAAGACTGCGCCCCACAGAGGCCGAAGGTACAGGTAGTTCAGCTGAAACCTCACCAAAACTCAACAGACTTGGAGATATCGGTCACGTCACATTTCAAATGTCGTCAGCAAATATGGATCCGATCAGTGCAGTACTTCAACTTAGCGGCGCTGTCATTTCTTCATGCAGCAACTACCTCACTGCGGTCAAGGGGGCGCCGGCTTATCTTCGAATTATTGTGTCAGAGGTCGCGGCTTTGCAATCAGTGGTCGGCTTGCTGGACCTACCCTTCGCTACTTCGGGAAATGCCAATGGGAATCTCCAGGAGATATTGAACAGCCCTGATAGTCCTCTGAAAGCATGTCAGAAGGCTCTGCAAGAGCTGTGTGATCTGCTGAATGTGACTGCGGCAGCGCCTGCCGCAACTAGTTCAAGCAGTAACCCCACCTCAACCCTAACTGGCAGTCCGCCTGCCACTTCAGGATCGCAAAAGAAGTTGCGAATTAACAAAGTATTGTCGATTCGTTTATTAACCAAGGTCAAAGAGCAACGTGCAGAGCTGGTTTGGCCACTGAAGCAAAACAGAGCTAAGGCCTTGCTCGCCGAGATTTCACAATACAAATCGACGATCAGCCTTGCGTTGGCTGTCGATTCGAGGTATTTATTGACTTTCACCCAGATAAGAACTGTGCTCTGATTTCCTTGCACACAGAACTTCCGTTGGCAACGTTTTGTCGCAAGTAGATAAACTTGGCCACCACAATCAAGGTATGGTTGATCCTCACGTCTTTCTAATACGTTATTGTACTGAGTCACGGTAGGGAATACAAATAGAGCCCAGATCGAGCAGGTCCTGTCATGGCTAGATGCTCCAAATGTCGCCAACAACCACTTCCGGGCCATAACAGTGCGCTGTCCTGGAACATGCTTATGGGTATTTTCGCATTCCCATTACCAGCAATGGATTTTGGAAGGGGGGTTGTTGTGGTTAAACGGCATTGGTAATTGCAGCCCTCAATTCCTCATTGCCTTAGCTAAGCTAATACATAATGAAGCTGGTTCCGGAAAGACTATTATCTCGTAAGTCTATGCCTGATAGTTGGAATCTCGCTCGGCATTAACGAATCCATATAGCTCTGCCATCATTCAACAGCTGCAGCTTGATTCTGCTTCCGACAACCTAACAGTTCTCTACTTCTACTTTGGCTACACAGATTTTGGGAAGCGGACTATACGAAGCCTTCTGCTATCCATCATTTCTCAAATCATAACGCAAAAGGATGCCGCCATGGTCAAGCTGAATATGTGGGTCTCTTCACGGCCAGGTCCGCGGTTTTTCGCACTATCTCAAGCTTCGACCACTTCCGAATTCCTGGAGAGCTTGGTCGCGAAGTTGGCCGAAAACCAAAAGATCGTTCTCGTTGTGGATGCCGTCGATGAAAGTGAGGAAACTCAAAACGTCACGTGACTTCTCGTCCGCCTACATGTGATTTCTGATCATGCTTTTGTACGTAATCTAATTACACGTGGAAGCACGTAAGCTCGTTCGAGCCTATTAAAGGACCCGAACGTGCAGGAATGGAAACGTTACGTCCTTTTTAACCTTTCCAATCACATACAAGCTCTCTCGATCCGAGTATTGTTTACGAGCAGGCCATCTCAAACTTTGCGTCAGATCTGGCATTCAATTACAGCTCCTCAAAGCAGTTCTTACCTTGAAGTCACAATTTCAGCTGCACTATCACGCGACGATATAGAAAGGTACGCTTCATATGCGCTGGACAGTCTCATTAATTCAAAGACCATTTCTTTGAATGATCCGGGGCTGTACACAGAAATCGTCAATACTTTGACGACCAGATCAGATGGCATGTAAGTTCGGCATTATTACAATTCACGGCTATCAGAATGCTAATATGATAGGTTTCAATGGGTTGCCTGTCATCTGAGCGGACTATCCGATAATCTTTCGGATGATGCAATCCGACGAGCTCTACCCAGACTGCCCATAGGGCTGGGCGAGACATACAAAAACATTCTAGACTCTTTACCTACCCATAATATTAATCTTTCAAAGAGATTATTCAGGTGGGTTGCCTTTGCCTATCGCCCGTTAACTCTCGCCGAACTTTGCGTCGCAGTCTCGCTAGACCAGTCTCAAGATGAGCTCAGGCCCTCAAGCATTATCTCCGATCCTTTAAACATTCTGCATCTCGGCGCTCATCTCATCCGTTATGATAGAGAAACCAACAGGGTGTCTTTTGTTCACTATACGGCCCGGGAATTTCTCACGTCAAGCGATAAAGTCGGAAACCAGTTCAAACTCTCAGAGGAGGGATCCAATCTCATGCTAGCCAGTCTCTGCTTGAAATACCTCCAATTAGATTCTGTTATGAAAGCAATGAAATCCATGAAATACGGAATGCTCACGCAAGGGAACGTTTATGAAGGCGAATTATCATTTATACACTACGCCGCAAAGTTCTGGACTCACCATGCGAAGTGTGGGTCAAATTCAGGAGATTCTGGCCTATGGCCTACCATAAGGTCCTTCTTCTTTGGCATGGTCCCCAAATATACCATTTGGCAAGATCTCTATGAGTCTCCTATGTCTTCTGACATACAGAAGGCAAAGGAAACATTGCAGGCAGCAAAAGAACGGACCAGAGCCCCGAGGACTTATGATAATCGAGAAGTTGGCACAGCCCCACCTGTACAGTCAGAGCCGTTCGAACTTTCACGGAAGAGGATATTCTTTACACCACAAAATCAAACACTTGGAGGGTCGGCGCCCGTGCGATCTTTGTACAGTCTGAACTCACTGGAGTCCGAGCAACAACCGCAGCACATGAAGACGTCTGGCCCGGAGTTCATCTTCAGGACCGGTGTACTTCATCCAGTCCAGTATCTCGCTCGCCTTGGTCTTTCCTCTTGCCTTCATAATGCTCTCGAATTAGGGGTCTCTCCCGATGTATCAGGTGGTTTGTTGGAGGCTTCCCCCCTTCATGAAGCAGCAAAATTTGGCTCTAAGATATCATGCCAGGTCCTCATCGAGGCAGGCGCAACTGTCGACAAATGCGATATTCTGGGTCGAACACCGTTCCATTATGCCTGCCGTTCCGGGGAGAAGGACCTGATCGAATTATTCCTTAATCACAAAGCCAACGCACTTCATAGCGATTGGTACAAAAGAACTGCACTTCACTCTGCGGTTGGTGGCATGAATCTCCGAGCCATAAAACTGCTTATTCGGAACCCAGACATCGTCGTTGACGCCAAAGATTCTTTAGGGGATACTCCGCTCTCCATGGCTTGTCGATTGAATGATGTGAAGATGGCCGAACTATTGATGGAAGGAAACGCAATGCCAAGTAAGGACTGCGTACGAAAATGTCTGCAACATAATTCCCACGCTGTTCTTCGATTAATCGCGCAGAGCTATTCTCGAGTTCCGCTCTCGACATCTAACTTCAGCGACCGGGATCCTGTGCTCCATCAGTTATGCAGAGGTAGTTTCCAACCGGATTTAATGGAAGCCCTTCTCGATAACGGGTTCCCCATTGGTCTCAGATGTCGGAGTCGAGGAGACACTCCATTGAGCGCTGCACTCACGGTGCGCAATTTCGATGCCGCTAAACTTTTAATACTTCGAGGGGCTTCGTGCACCACACCCGGCCACCGTCAGCAATGTTTTCATCTTCTGATAGGCAGGCGCCGCGAGTCAGAGTCTGAAGAGAAGCTGCGATATGAAATGATGAAAATTATGGCCAACCGAGGATGTTATGTCGACTCCGAAGATAACTTTGGGGAAACAGCGCTGACTGTTGCTGTCAAGCTAGGCCGCTGGCAGGATAGCCATTTTCTTCTTGATATTGGAGCCAACCCGATGGCGGGAGCCAAGTCGACGTCTTTGTTGCATAGTCTTGCGTACATCCGGCAATCTCGTGAAGAGTATCGCACTCTAATCCTACGTCTTGTGGATTGCGGTTGTTCTCTCAGTGAACAAGATCAATCAGGCAAAACACCTCTTCTTGCGGCTCTTGGCTATGGAAACTTCATCGCTGCAAAGCTATTTCTGAGCAAAGGGGCAAGCCTCAATGCGCTGAACTTGAATGGAAAAGCAGTCCTCGGACACTTTGCAATTGGATTATGGAAACTTCCCAACATGGTCCTAATTCCCCCGCCGAATTTGTCTCTAGCTATTGATTTCTTGGAGGAGATGTCACAGCGGGGAATACCCATCAATTCAACAAACGAGGAGTCTCTAAATCTACTCCACTTGATAGTCAAAGTGCAGCTTTCCGCTTACATCTTCCCTACTTTGTCTTGGATATTACGGCATGGCGGGGATGCATCACTGGTCTATTCAACTGCCAAAACTCCATTGCACTATTTCCTTGAAAACCGAGATATCTTCGAAAATAATCAGTCTCACAAGAATCAAAGGCATGGATCAGGTTCGCTAATGGACGTATTTCCCGAGCAAAAAGGCGACACTCCAGCCTCCTCGGAAGAATATGAGACCGTTTTCGATCAGCTTTTCAGGGGGTACGTCGAATCAAGACTCACAACTACTAGGTCTGATCCTCCTATTCACGTCCTAGTGAAAACTTTCTTCCGGGAGCAGTGCAGAAGCTTCCCTGATTACCTTCTGAAACGCTTGATAGATCTCGGTGAAGATCTTTCCAGCGTCAACGGGAATGGAGAAACTCCTGCTGCCCTTGGTCTACGAATACTGAGTGAAGTCGGCTCAAAGGATTCTGTTAAAGAAGCTTTGAGAGTGTTGAAGCTCTTAGTGCCTTCAGATACGACGGCCGTAGTCTTAGAACCTTCTCAAGGAGCCAAGATAATATGTGAACTTTTCAAGAAGCTTCATGAGCACACGGAAGTTATAAACACTCTATTGGAGCTGCCCTTGAGCAAAATACAATTTGAAGCGGCGTTGGGAATTATCAACAACAGCAGCGCTCTCAAACTTCTTCTGGATCAAGGTTTAAACCCGAACATTCCGAACTCAGATGGCGATACCCCACTTCACAAGCAGATATCTTGGAAATTTGACCTTCCCTCTGAAGTGGACTCGTGTGGAGATCCAAAGGCAGCCCGTACGGACCATTTCCGCCAAGAAAGGGTCCGCGTCCTCCTGAAAGCCGGTGCAGACCCGAATATGCGGAACCACAAGGGTCTTACTCCACTTCAAGTTCTTCGGCTTCCCGAATCCTCAACATTCAGGCATCCTTGGCGATATCCAGAAGGCACCCTTTCCGCCGACTTCCACTATGTCATCGCAGTCCTTCTGGAATATGGTGCAAATGATTAGCGATTATAAACGAGACAAAACCCGATTGATTTAGTCTCGCCGGATTGGATACGGTCTTGCATCGAGTCTTTGGTTTAGTCGACACGAGAGACGGGTACTTTTATCTCCCTTTCACCTTTCAGAGAAAACTCTCCTTATTTTTGGCTTGCCTCCACATATAGTATAGTGATAATGTGGTATACTCTATTACTAACTATATAATAGATAGGAAGGACATAGGAGAGGTCTTAGACTAGTATTAAATCTCCTATTTGATCTGTTTCCAGCCTCCCGCCTACTGGGTGCCATTCTGTCTGCAACTCTGCTTAAGATGTCCATGTCTTCTTGCTAAATAAGCTCTACCCATCTTGGTTGAGAGCTCTTCTTTGTTGTGTTGGCAAATGAGATTGTGCTTGACCTCTTTTCTCTTGTTGTTGCTGAACTTTGGATTAGACACAATGTCCCAGTCTTGAGAAGTCTTCCAATACAACATACCCCCTTGGTAATATGGTATCATAGGGAACAGGCCAATAATTTTAAAAAGTTCATACCAATCCTCCTTGACTCCTATACTTTTAGTGTTGGTGAAAGGCAAAATTAGCTACACCTGTCTTGGAATCATCAAGAAAGAATGCGCTTAGTTCTTGGGCAAATGATTTTTGTGGTCAAAAATTCAGAGTATGGACGAAGTTGAGGGCAGAAGGGTGAGAAGGAAGAGATCAAAGAAGAGATTGGGAGAAAGAAGAGATTCATGCGTTGATGCATAATCACATCTGATATCAAAAGCAGCATTACATAGGCATTGTGCTTTACTTCTATGTGTTCTTGTTCTATGGCTTAAAACTTGGAACTCGTTTCAAGGATCAACTTGCCTTAAGAATGAAATGCCGGCGCTTAGGAAATGAGATCCCAGAACCACATTCTCCTTTGAATTTAATTTAAGGGCCATGATTTCATCCCTTGGATATAAGAAACATTGCACCTTTGATGCTGGGGCGACTTGGGACTATGGAGATAGCCCAATTCTCCTCAGTCTATGGTCGTATGTGACAGATAGTCCCTTAATCCTCTCTTTCCTTTCCTCTCTTATATTAACGCTATTTTCCGGAGAAAACGGACGCTGTCACGTGATGGGGTCTGTGCAGGAACACCAAAACTTCCAGTACGGTTTGACGCCACAGCAAGCGAGCTTGCGAGCCAGGGTGTGGCTAAATAACCTTGCAATTACTCGAGCAATTCCAGCTACTCGGGACGAGTTTAGGGCAAAATTATTACTGGCCCCGGAGCTTGCGTAGGGCCGCCAGTAATAATTTTAGCGGAGCGGCCCTAAACTCGTCTTCTCTATATTGTCCTACGTTCAGGCCACCCTAAGCGGTTGGCTCACGGGGCTCCGTAAAAAAAAAGGGTCACGTGAGGAACACCAGAATCGCCCCCTTCTAGGGAATCGCGCATCGGAACGCGATTCCGTCCAAATCCTTAGGGCTCAGCTAGGGATTAGAGAGGAGCAGCTCGAGTACCTTGCTCTGTATTTGAGTAGTTCTGGAATGCGAGGGGCTTTTATTACGATTTTTTTAGGCTCGGGGGAAAATCTTAAGCTAGGGGCCCCGTAAAAAGCACTAAAAAAAAATCCTGACCTCACATTACTCTCCTCTCCTTCTTCTCTTTATTACTATAGACCCTCCCCGCTTTTATACTTCCTATAAGCAGAACTAGCCTGCTTCTAACTTTATTATAGGACGGGCTAAGGTATATAAAAGCTATAATTACTATTAAGTCTATATTTTCTCCTTTTTCTGGCTTAACTAACTAGTTAATAGGCCCGGTTAGCTACTAATTATATCTAGTAATACCTTGCCTTATAAAAACTCAATCTAAATATCCTTTCTTTTTCCTAGTAATAATAATAGTTAATTACGAATATCTCTATAAATAAGCCAGCCCTATAGTACTAGTAATAGATCTATTAACTGTCCGTTATAGCCCTAGTTCATATTATAGAGAACTCTTCTACTAACTTACCTATTATATAGCCTCCTGCCTTTCTCTCTCGCTTCTAGCTAGCTCCTATATATATAACTAATCTGCTTATAGATTATTATATAGCTTATAAAGCCCTTTATTTTGGCTATATAAATAATTACTTTAAGGCCTATTATAAGAAAAATAATATTATATTTTCTCTAATTTATAAGCCTTTTTTATATTTCTCTTATTTCTTTATAGATAATAACTTCTTTTACTAGGCTTTCTAGATAAATATCCGGGTATATAATTATACTTTTGCCTTTATATTAATTAGCTATAAGAAGAATATCCGAATTAACTTCTCTTATAAAATCTAGTACTTTTAGATCTATAGTAAGCTCTTTTATTTCTAAGGCCTGCTATAATCCGCTTTATATACCGAATTCTTCTTTATATAGCTTTTTTTCTATAATTTGCTTTTTATAACTAATATCTGGACTACTAATTTCTCTTACTTAGATTATATAATTCTTTTATAACTTATAAATATACTTATAGACTATAATCCGTTTATTATAATCTATAAAATAGCCTATAAGTATTTTATAAGCTAGTAAACCGATTTCCGGATCTTACTTAATTTATAAATATACTTAATTCTCGAGTTAGATATAAATTATTATTATAAGAACCTTCCTATAAATAATAAAATTACTATTCTAATTTCGGACAAGTATATAAATACGAGCTACTATAATCTAGTACTAATAACTTATAAGGCAGGCTATAAGTATTTATAAATATATATAATTAATATTACTTATATAATATATATATTACTTTATTATATCTTATTTTTCCTATATAGTAACCCGGGCTAGTACTATAAGTTATAGTTATAGGACTGTATTAGAACTTACTAGTAAATATAGCTCAAGTAACGGGCCTTTTACTAGTATTATTTCTATATTTATTTAGCTTTCTCCTTATTTTTTTATACTAGTTACCTTTTCTAGTAATATATTATTAATATATATATTATTTATAAGATAACCTTACTTAACTAGCTCTGCTTATATTAGTAAAATATTTATATAGATATTTATATAGGTCTTATAAATACTCTAATTCATAAGAATATTCATATAAGTAATATTAGCTATTACTTTATTTTTCTATCTAGCTTTATAAGTAGTAATTACTTTATATAATAGCTCTTTTAAAACTTAATAGCTATTATATAATATTTTAGTAAACCAAGCTTCTTTATTACCTTTATAACTAACCTATACTAGCCTGAGATTATAGATTACCTCTTAAATAGGTAATAAGTAATTAACTATCCGGATTTCCTTTACTAGGTCTTTATTTTAAAAATAAGAAAGCTTTTTATAGATCTCAAGAACTATGTTTTTAAATAATATATAGGCTATATTTATATAATTAAGTACTAGAAATATAGCCTCTTATATATATACCTATTCTTATTTCTTAGAAGAAATACTATTTTCTTAACTCCTAATTTAATTAATAAGATAGTTTATACTAAATTCCCAGACCTATTATAGGACTCTATTAGTGAACTTATAGCTATAGTTATTAGCCAGATATCTTATAGGCTATATGGCCTTAATAATAATCCAAAAGCCCTATATATAATTTATAATATATTTATAGCCCTACTTATATATTAGAAAAGGTTCCCTAAAATATTTGCGGCTATAATAATTATCTATAAAAATAGGTATCCTAAATACTAGTACTAAAATAATAGCCATATATTTATAGTCTATAAACTAGGCTTTCTAGACTAGGAAGTTATCTATAATAACTACTAAATTATTTTATATAACCTATATCTTTTCTAGAAATTTTACTTATATATTAATATTAAGATTTATATATTTATATAAATAATTAAGTATATTTATAAATATATTTATAAAGAAATAAATTATATAATTATAACTATTTCGGGAATAAATAATAAGATTACCTAGTATTTCTAGGCTTAGTATATAGGCCTTATAAAGGCTTTCTAGTACCTATTTAAGTACCTAATATACCAGGAATTCTCTCTAGTTTAATATCTCATAATTTATTTCTTTAGGTAATATATAGTCTACTTTATAGCTAATTTCTTACCTAAATAAGTTATAGACCGGGCCGCAAATATTCGTTTAACCTTAATAGCCTTCTTTAAGTATAATATAATATATAAGAATAGCTACTAGTATCTTTACTATAAGTTCCTATAATACTTTATATAGGTTACTAAGATCCAGATATAGAAATACTATAAGCGAGAATATAATATTAGTTATATTTATTATTATAGCCCGGTTTCGGATAAGTAGTTCTACTTATAGCTCTTATTAATAATTATATATAATCTATAGTTCTTTAATAAGCTCTACTTAGTTAAGGGCGTCCGTTATCCTATATACTATATTACCTATATTACTTATAGCTTAGTAAAAAATAATTAGAAATAGTTCTAGTACTTTAATAAGGCTATCCGGTTAATAACTAGCTATAATTTATAAATATTCTTTCTTATAAGTATCTACTAGTAGCTAATTACAAATATATAAGTAATTTGGAACTAGTATAAGAAGTATTTCTATAATAACTTGGCCCGTAAGCTCGCCCGTAACCCATTAATTAACTTCCTGCTATTCTTAGTTAATTCTTATTATAATTATAGCCTCTTCTTATTTGGCCTTAGCCTTATAAATCTCTAGTAAATACTAATAGATATTACCTTACCTGAGAATACCTTTAACTAGACTATAAGCTATTATATAACTAATCTATAAGTTAATTATATTTATAAGATATTACTAGTAACTATAATATAAGCCTAGCTAAATATAAACTAGTATTCTTGCTTCTAGATAATTCTAGTAGTAATTATAAATAATTTATAAATGGCTTACTTCTACTTATAGGGCCCGGGCAAAACTAGTAAGATATTCTTTTATAAGACTCTCTATTACTATTACTATAATTAAGGTAAGGTTATCCTATATATAATATTAACGAGTATTATAGCTCTTTTTCTCTCGAATAAATATATATCTTATTTCTAGTTCCGGATCCTGCTTAAGCTTAATAAATTATTTATAAGTATAATTACTAAAATAAGCCGGCTCGGGGCACTCTTATAATCTATAAATCTAATTATTTAGGACGAGATACCCATATAATATAAGTACTATTTTAAGGTAATATACTAGCTAATAATTAATTTATAGTTAATTATAGATAATATTCTCTTTAGAGAAATACCTATAATTCTCGGAAAAAACTTTACCTAGATC